ACTCTTATTGTATGGCGAAAAGCTAGGCTTCAACAAATCCCTACTGAATTCATGAGTTCTTGAAATGAGAGAATAGAGGATATAAGAAAGATATGACATGTGGGGTATGAACTTCTTTAGATTTGTGAGTCTTGTGGTTGCCAGTTGGCCAGAGTGACTGACCTTTATTCTTACTCAGCTTTTCCTGTTGAATGAGTTCCACTATTTTGCATATTACAAAGCCCAAGGCAGATAGAGACCCAACACTGTTGGTAGGACGGCCGGTTGAAGTGTAGCCGAGTCAGTAGCTATGCAGTAGATTCTTATTGTTTAAGCTCTGAGGACCCGTGACAGTGTGAGTCACGAGGTGATTTAAGGACCAAATTGAATTAAATTCCTTGAAAAAAATGAGTTTAAGGCCTTATGATAATTGTTAATTTATATTATCCTTACCTCCCAGAACACAATATCCTATTCAATGGCACCGTGAAGGCCTCAATCCATTTAATCGAAATTAGTTAAATTAACTTCATTCCTTACTGCCCCTTAAGTAAGTATACATTTATTCCTACGGGTATTTAGGGTAATTAATAAAAATTAATTATTTGCCTTATTATTATTTGACTTGTCATTTCGAAAAAAAAGTTGTTTATAAGGACTTTGTGAATTGCCTTGAAGGTTGGGTTGTTCAAAAAAAGTCGTTTGCTTACCGTCTTGCAACTCCGATGAATCCGTACTAAGATTTCGTCTGTCCCGTCACGACAAACATGGTCAAAGCGAGAAAGGATACTTTAAGAAAAAGCGTAACAATATACTAAACCAAAAGAATAGGCCTAATTGCTTGAGTCGTACTACATCACTCAGGAATTCTTAGCAAGTCAGCCATAAAGCAAGCTATGAAAAAAGCAAGATGTCTTTATAGACCGAAACGTCTGATCGGCCCTGAAACTTGTTATTCTTAATCCGAAAAGTGAAAGCTCAAATGAGGTATTGTTGAATATGACATAGTTCGAGTCTTGCCTTAAAGAGATCCGAAGGTATGTCACGTGAAAAAGGTGGAATACGTAAGGACTTGAAGTCGGGCAGCTTGGCGTTGCGTAACTGGATCAACCGGAATCGCCGGTTGCCATCCAACTCGTCGGTACTGCAAAAATTGAACTCTTCAATGAGATGATCCAGTCGGAAGTAGGCCAGTCCTGCTGAACGTGTTCTAGGCGACACCTTCATGGCATCCCCATCGCTCAAAGAGGGCATGCCACGGGTCTCGTCTTGTTTCATTGGCGTTAGGTAGGAGCCAAAGGCAGACTGAAAAGACAGAAAGAAGGCTTTTTTGCTCATTTGAGACGGTGCAAACGGAAATGAAAACAACCGAATAGATTAAACTTTAATACAATTTAGAAATTTAATATAAAACATGTTCTTAAATCGAAGAGATAAGTTCCGATAATGGCGAACAACTAGATTCCTTATTAAATTATACATTCAGTTTTCTAGTGAATCACTCTCATACCCAAACAATAATCACCTATTATCGTCAATAGGCATCATTTTTTCGTATACTTTTATAACAACCGAAGGTGAATGTACTCAAAGGGTGTTTCGAAGAACAATGAAATTGAGAAGGCCTAAGCTGCACTTCAAAACTTGCCCAATGGTACCATCAGGGTTCCAGCAAGGTTCCAACAGCCAATCTTTGGGTTAACAAGTAAGCACGTTTAAATCGAGACCTCAATTGTACAATATCCGTGCCGTCTGTTTGCCTCTGAGCCCTCACAAATAAACAAATACGCGATTGCCCACACGCACCCGCGCAAACACATGCAAATTCACATGTAGAAATACGTGTACACATACATGCTTAGCTCGAAAGAATGCTGTAAGAATAAGGTAAGGTCGAGGCTATAGTCCAGATGAAATGAGAAATAATCTTGTGGCTGCATGATGGAGTAAATCTCAATAATAAATCAACTCCGTTTCAAGATTTATTGTGAGCAGATTTGCTTTCAGTCCTAAAATACAACCCAAAACTGATGAAAATTGACGGAATTCATGCTTCGAAAGGCTATGATCGACTTTCTACTGATAGTCCATCAGTAGTCTATTTATTTTTGCGTCCATTCTTGCCTAGGCTGGGACAGAAAGCTCCTCAATGAGAATCATGAGCCAAGATACGCCGAGGCAGAAAGAGCTCTTATATAAAAAGAATTTCCATTAGTACTGAGTAGGTCTCGAAACAACTAATAGATCTTGAATAAGAGCTGTACTCGTCCTAGGACAGATGAAGTAATGGAGGAAAAGTATTTGGATATTCCCACAATCAGATGAGTAGGCCTTATGCTTTCACAGAGATTTGCTTTGCCAAAGTATCATATCCATTTTTCATTTAAAAATAATGTTTAGAGATGGTCATATGAGACGTATTCAGACTATTTTGTTTAGGGTGATGAAGGACTGGTAGCTGAATTTTCCCACAATCATGTGAATAGTGCTGGCGCTTGCATTAAAGTTCACATAGACTTGCTTTCTTAAAATGTGTTCTCATTCAGACCGAAATCAACTGCCGTTTCGATCTCGCCTAGGTCTTATCAACACCCTTTGCGGGACTCGAACCATGACAGTCTAGTGTATAATTTCAACATTTTAAAGATTCCAACACATATTTTAACGAGTGCTCGTCGGTCACAGGGCAGATGAAAATTTCAAGTAAGGCAAGGCGTTTTCCCATGTCACATTCTTTAGTGGGATTGTCGATGAAGCAAAACTTTATTTGCTATACCAATCGAGCACATTACTTATTTGTCATGTATAAACATGGTTCCGGGACTACCAGTTAATCAGCTATATGAGATGTATTCGAATAGCTATTTTTAAACGAAAAAATAATTAATGTAGTATATTGTTATAGCAAATATAACTTTGAATATATGAAGAAAAAATGGGTTTTGAAGAATTCTTCAATGAAATATTGTGGCATGACTGTCTATTTCGAAGGGAAAGTTGGTTGGAAAGAGTTAGCGATGTGATCTCACCGGAAAGCAAAGGAAGATTACAGCGTTGTGGAAAGAAGACCTTGGCTCAACGTCCTTCGATCCCGATGAAACTGTGCTGAGCTTTCGTCTGTACCACCGTGACAGACATAATCATAGCGGAATTTCATGCTTTAAGAAATATAGCATCATTGGGGTCGCAGGATGATGAGCCAAGGCCTTTTTCGCACAGC